TCTTGTCTCTACCGGGACTTGAACTCCGACTTCTGGGTTGTCCAGCCTGTCGCCAGCCGCTATACAGACTGCGCTATCCAGGCTCCTGAAGGTAAGGATACCCTTGTAACAGGCCGTGGAGGCCCATACGGTTGTGAGACGTTGAAGCTCCCACAGTTGCTAGACAGTCGGCTCACAGATGGCAGTGAGGTTGTCAGCCTTATGCGCAGGCTGCCTTTTACCCCCAGGTATATTCCTGGTGCTCATTTCTGTTAGAGGCTGAATTTACCCCAGGGCCATTTTGTGGCCGGAAGGATTAGGTCAATTGAAAAATCCAATTACCTCATCGGGAATCGAACTCGCGGCCTTCCGGCTTGCAGCATAGTGCCTTCATCAGTTACGATTCCTCGTGTCCCCCCCCCCTCCCAAGAAACATAATAATTGTATTAACACACTATCGTCACAAATTTAGTTTTTTTATTTTGCTCAGTTTGTTCAGGCCCGTTGGTAGGATGTCGCTTTTAAGTAGGCCGCAACCAGTTCCATATTTTAATTTATTCGTTTTCATGTGGTTGTTGTTATACTGACAGATTGTTTTATAATAGCTTACTATTCGAAACGGCCTGGTTCGATCTCGGCAGTCGTCAGAAATCTTAAAATGACCTGCTTCTGAAATGTCGCGTGTATCAGATATACAGCAGACAATGGATAATGTTCAACAAAATTATATGAGGCATATAATTATTCAGCTTCTGTCACAAACCATTAAAGTATATATAACTCCCGATACGCTGTGGACTGGAAAGTGGGTGTACCGCTGAGCACTTCTGGAGAAGCTGACAAGAGAAATATCCTGACCGTCGCTGACTCTGCTTGCGCCAGCTCGGCTGTCAGTATAACAACTTGAGAATTACATTTGTAATGGGCCTATTCGGCGTAGGGTACTTGTTCCTGCAGTGGGTACTGAGAAGATCGAGTGCAGTCAGATGGCGGGGTGGGATTGCAGTGTATCGCTTGACCGACCTTTGTGCCATACTGATTGACCCGCACTTGACTGGAAGTGGTCTCAACGCGACGGCACTTCTACTTTGTGTAGTCTGGCCTCTCATGACCACTTCGCGTTCATTCAATGGAAAGGAGAAAATGTGTGAGTGGAATGATTCCTTTTCACCCTCACCACCGGCCGGTTAAGTACAGTCATGTGCACAATAAATTAGTCAGATGATACTATCAAGCGCGTATTTAATTTGTCTTCATCAGAAGTTTCCTGTAGCTAGTGAAAATAGGTGTCATATTAACAAACAGACCGCTTCTGTTTTCTAGTGGTCAGAGTTCCTGGCTACAGATTCAGAGGTCCCGGGTTCGATTCCCGGCGTTACCAGATTTGCTGAGAAGTAGTCAGTGTGGAACGGGGTCCACTCAGCGTCATGAGGATAACTAACGAGCTGTTTCAAGGAAGTATCTGCTCTGGTCTAGAAAACCGAGATTAACGGCCGTGGGGATTTGTTGCGCTGACCACCCAACACACACTATCCGCAAAAAGTTGGCACTAACTTCGCCGACAAGCGGCGGTAGCTCGGTCGGTATAGTTTGCTTGCGGACTACAGGCCACGGAGTTTGTTTTGTTTTGTTGTTTTATATTAACAAACGTGCATGGACTTCATTGCATTTGATTGGTTTTGAACGCTGAGAATGAAGATGGCGTGAGATGGCTGTGGAAAATCGAAATTAGTCAAATTTTTTTCATGACATTGTATCACCTGATTTTATGTAGTCTTAAATAAGATGAGAGGGTGCCTATGAGTGGTTAATTTGGAGGACTAGGGACATTGTAAATCGACGTAGGGCCAATAACCCAGCGTGCTTCCACAAAAGATCAGGAGAACTGGTCCATGTGAAGAGTTTCATAAACATGTTAATATTAATTGGCATTTATCTAGGGTACGTGAGGTAGATAGGTTGCAGAGTGTAGAAAGGTGCCATCTCCCATTAAGATGCAATCAGCAGGTTCCGGCAAAGTAGTGGTAGCCATCTACCGGACTACAAAATGTATATCCCAGAGGACCATAATCTTAATGAATATAAACAGTATACAGATATAATCCATTATGTGTGAAACTGTGATTTAAGTAAATAAGGTCCCTGGTAAGATGTCCAGCTTTTGGGATGAAACCTTAAACTGAATTCATGAGAATGAGATTCTCATGTCAGTTACTATGTAGACTACTGTCTTCTGCTTGCTTGGCTTACTTATCAACCCTACTATTGGAGACAGAGCCTTAGAAACGTCTGTAAACTTCTGCCAGACTGCGCCACATAATGTTCCAGGAGGTAGTCCTCTTTTGAGTAATTTGTGGTTTACCTCATTTCTGTAAGTGATGCCATGATAGTGTCTCATATCAGACATTTATCACTTCTTTACTGATTCCTTTCTGCTCCCTATAGAGGTTTATAAAGATGACTGAAAATGAGATGGTGATTATTATGAGTGATGGCGATTCTAATGATAAACCAGATGCAATACAAATCACTCAACATGTGCCAGAATTTCTCCACAGCAATAATGCAAATGGGGGCTCGTGTACAATATTATAATAAGTTGACCATTTTTGCATGCTTTTATTATATCCATACCAGGGGAATTCCATCTTGTGTGTTTCTGTCTGTAGCTAGCTTTGCTTGCTGCGAGATATTCCCATCAAATGTTGTGATTGAGTGGTTAACATACTCACTTACTTCATGTTTGGGGCTGCGCCATAGCTCAAGCGGTTAGTCGCTGGCTTCCCACCGCAGCTGCCCGGGTTCAATCGTGGGTCTGGTCAAGTGGGATTTGTGGTGGACAAAGTGGCTCTGGGGCAGGTTTTCTCCAAGTACTTCAGTTTCCTCTGCCAATCATCATTCCACCAATTGCTTCACAATCACCTTCACCTATCGTCTGGGGCTGGTACAATAGGCCAGAAGTGGCCACAGTACAAGGGACTTAGTCCCACCCCACTAGCAATAAAAAAAATAGTTCACACTTGGGAGATTCCAAGTTCGAACATGGCTGGCTGTCCTGACTCATATGTTTCCTGGATTTCCACAGTCCTTCAAGGCCTTTGCTGTGATAGTATGTCATATGTTCCATGACCACTACCATCAAAATTTTTTCCTGTTCACTGTTCATGTAACATATTACATTTACTATCTTAAACAAGTAGCAGGAATAAAGTTCGAATTGTAAGACATTAAAACTAAGTATATTTGTTGTCTTAACCGTTAACATAATTCCTATATACAGTACTCGTATATTACATTTGATGTACATTGTCTCCTCAGTTAAATTTAATTTCACAAATTATGCAGTGAGTTTAGATTTAAGAATATTTAGGTACAGCACTGGTAACCGTGATATTTTTCAAATCGAAGTCAAATCTGAAAATGGCATAACTAAATAATTTTGAAAGGTAACTCGTTCCTTACAGTTACTGTACATTTCATGCAATATTGTTTAATGATATATTGCATTTTTCAGGACACACAAGGCATGAGATGACATCCTGGTCGAGTTTTGAGTCTGTGTTCACATTCCTACAGGAACGATACAGTGCCTTGTCTAATAAGGAAGAACTTTGATTACTTCTAGAAGAGAATATGTGAATGGAAATAATATACAGCAAATAGCCTGATCATGGTTGCATGGTAGTTATGAAAGATTGGAGAGATGCACTTCAAAGCAGATCCCTTCAGTGTGTATCCTTGTAATTATGGTGTCATTTCGGTCTCATGCCTGAGGATCTGTACAGCACATTTTCTGCCTTTTTAACTTGTTAAAATCTCCTAGATCAGGGGTGTCCAACTTCAGACCACTATGGGGTATTTGCATGAGTCACTTTATGTTTCTTCCATTATTCTGATACGAATATGTTCCCTGCAGTGATCTACTCTGTGAAGGATATGTACATGAATAAGATTTGGACCTGTAAGGTTCAAGAATGTCAACTTAAATTTTATACATTATAATGTTACATATCAGAATTATGGGAAGTCAGAGTTTCTGACAAAACAGAAAACACCCACTTCACATTATCAATACAAGTACTGTAGATATTCTCTTTTACAAGAGTGGATATATCTACATTTACCTTACTAATAACAAGTGTAAGTAAGTGGGAAAGAGATTCATCTCTTAGTGCACATGCTGCATGGTTGAGATAGTAATCTCACGAGTAAGTGCTCCCATGGTGAGGAAGACTGTCACGGACCGCAGAGAAGAAACTATGGGCTACATGTGTCCTGCATGCCGCTGATTGGACCTTTCTTCTAATTTCACCACGTAGTTTTCAGTCATTACAGATGTTTAACTGAGTTTCTCTTGTGCAGTTTTAACTATTTAATCAGAATTTTCCAAACACAGTATTCTTTACAGATATGTGTTCATATTTCTTATAAAACTGATTTCTATAATTGTAACTCTCTTTGTGTTTGCTGTCCCAGAGAGAGATTCATGTTAGTGTTTCATATGTAAATAAATGTTTTACATATAAGTTGGAGCAGATTGATATAACAGTTATTCTTTTTTCTTTGAAATTGATCAGAAGAATAATAAGTTCATTATCATTATGGTCTCCTGGGATATGACAGTGTAATTTGCTAGATAGGCAACAGCATTTCAGAAGAGCTTGCTGACTCTCTCTTCAAGGTAAACATTCATACCTGTTGCTGCCAGCTTTATGCTGGTTTGTTTGCTTGACTTACACTTCAGCCCTGAAGATGATGGTTTTATATTCTCTTTGAAGTCAACCAAAGCAGACTTGCATTACATGACATTGTATCTCAGAAGAACTTTTGGTTACTTTACTTCATAGCCTCATTCTGTGTGAACTGAAATTTATTTTGAAATGTTTGTTGAAGGAAACTGAAATTTTTGTGATTAATCCCGTTTGTGTGGATCACAATGGTTGTGCAGTGTAAGGAATGGATGTTTTTCTATGTGTGTTCTGTGTAGATAGTGTCCTTGTGGCAATCTGATCCACTGCCCAAGGAGTCCTACCAACTGTTTGTATGTTTAACAAACTTTGAAATGGAGGCCAAGATTTATCATTGACTGTAGTATCCACAGAACAGAATAGTAACTCTGTTTGTAATATGTAGAAAATTTCCCTCTTACTCATCTTTAAATTTTGACGTGTGAAGTATTGGAAGTAGGTCTGTTAAATTATGACATACAAACTGAAGAAATAGAAATCTGTTGAACAATATCATATGGACTGTATTATTTAAATAAAGGTGCAAACAGTATCAAATCAGAAATTTATGTGACAGCTTTTTCATTTTTTCTGTGCATGGAAGTTTTAATTGTACACTATAGAAGTCATAAACTTAAACTGAAAATAACACAATCAGTGTGACAGGGAGTGTTGGAAAAATGTATGATTGATTGTAAAAATATATTCTTAAAGATATCTGAATGTTAATACATGTTCTTGAAGGTTATGTCTGTGTTATTAAGAAGTTTTTTAAATTGTACTTGTGTCTGAATTTTCAATAAGGAAAGGGAAATCAGTGAAGAAACAAATAATTGTTTCAAATACTCTGTAAAACCAAAATAGTGAGGCCCATTTTAGACTGCTGATAAAGTCATTTCAGTTTTTATTCCACTTTACTACTCTTATTCATATGACTGCCTTGTAGTCGTGGTCTTTCAAAAGGGAGATCTATTGTAATATGCAGCTGCAGGAAGTGTAATTCTGTAGGCCAGATGTTCTCTTCTATAACATGTGCCCAGCCTGTGCTCACTGGTTACTGATATTGTCATGTAATTAAGTGACTATAAACAGGGTTTGGATTGGTAATCAGATTTATTGGACTCTTTAGCACACAACTCATGACTACAATTTACTGTTACACACACACACACACACACACAAGTGTTCACAGTCACGTCTTCACTGCACTTGCTTGGTAGCAGCTTCTAACAGTGGACATTACCCTTCCTTTGGGTTCCTGAACTGTCCTTGGCCTCAGCTACCAGCTTCTAACAGCAGCAGCTCACAGTGACTGAACCCCAGGAGTTCCATAACTAACTGAAACTGCTAACTGGCCCTGATTATAACATCTCGTCATGGACTGCATAGGAAACGTCTCCTCTGTTTTTTCTATGTCCTCTTGTTGCCATGGAAACATATTTGTATGCGGAGCTGTTACTTAGCAATGGCTGTTGTATGGTAGGAATGGGTCTGTGTGCCACAGCATTCATCTGTATAAAAATATGAATACTTCTGTATTGAATAGGACTTTCCATCATGCTTAGAATACATTTGAATTGTATTTTTGTAACCAAAGCATTCTATTATAGCTAAAAGATCATGTGTTCAGAGGACTCCACAAACACTTATTTATCCAATGTTGGTTATTAGCCATCTTATTTCCGACTTGCTCTTTAAAACCTTGCATCCACAACTCTAAAACTACACATGCTAGATTTACTGGTACCCTTTGTATCAGGTTGTCATTTTGTTATGAACATATTCCATGCTATAAGAAAAATATATAAATTTTAATGTAGTCTTCCCTCTATTATATATTTTATATGTGGAATTATCACTGGAAAGAAATCTGTCCTGCCATTACTGACGCTTTGAGCTTACCATCTATAGTATCCTGAAAAGTGAACTGAAATGAAAGGATATCTTTCCTCCATTTTGTTCTCAGTTAATCTGAGAACTAAGCAGTCAGTAGTGGAGCCACTGCTAGGGTTTTCCCTACAGATCAGATTGAAAGCAAGGAGCTGGGCAAAATGTATGTTACAGTAGGGTAGATAAGGTTCCATAGTAACAAGTGAGGCAACCTATGTATCAGATGGTGAATCCAGAAAACAAAGCTGCAAACATCAAATTTAGGGTTTCATGAGGAGTTGGTAACCATTCTAAGAAAAGAAATTTACTTCCTAATAAGCTCCTTGCAATAGATGCAAAATTAAATGTAGAACATGGAAGGTAAGGCATGCTGGCAACAAATTTCAGCAACTTCAACAGACTATGTGATAAGGTAAAGGAAAAATAAATGTAACAAATTTGATAATTACTCTGAACAGAAAAGGGAGAAGTAATATTTCCCTTCTTTCTTTCATTCTTCATATCTTGTGTATTTTTGCACTGGACTTCCAGCCGAATGGATCATTGTATTCTTTGATTAGCCTGTGTTGTCTTACAAACAAAAGAGCATTTAATTGAGGTACGAAGTTATGTGTTATAATTACTGAATGTGTTTTTATTTCTGACATATTTTGTCTTTTCCTGTCTTTGTAATAATGCATTTATACTCTGGCAAGTTAAGTAGCCCTTAGATTATTGTAAATGAATATTTCCATCTAGTATATATATTTTTATCAGTTGTGTCAATAATAATGTTTATTTTGGGGACTAAATATTTCATACTTCCAGGCTTGCTGTTTTTGTGTAAAGTTACCTTCCTCCTGTCCCCCTCTTCACCCTTCCATGTTGGTAAAGGTTTACTAATGTGAGATGGTAACATACTATCTGTTGGTGTCAATTTACTTCTTACAGGCTATGACTTTTTTATAAACACTGGTACTCAATGCAATAATCTTAGCCTAGCAGGCATGTTTCTTGAAGAAAGAAACTTGAAGGTACTATGTGAATTTTTGTGATTAGCTTAAAAATCCAGAGATTTACTAAAATGTTTTGTACAGTTTTCTTATTACAGATTTTTTTATCTCTGAGGTGTACAAATAATTTACTTTGACTTAACTCATTACATTAAATGATTCAGCCATAAGCAATAGATATAACATTTTGCAGTATAATCAGTCATTAATAGCAACAAAATAATTCACTAATTAAAAGATGACGTCGACTAGTACTGGATACACTTGGCTGTGATAATTTGTATATACCTTATAGTTGTTAGCATTTACAAGTATGTTCTTACCTACTTTACATTAACTGGTATCATCAGATGCTCACATTTTGTTGCTTCCACATGATAATAGGTTTGTGTATGAAAGTTGTGACTACCAGAAAAAAATTACATTTTCTTATGGACTCAGTCTATATTGGACCACACACACACTAACTTAGTCAGAAATAAAAGATTGTAAAATGTATGGCTATACATAGCCAGTCACAGTAGCTGTGCAGTCTAAGGCACAAACTGTCTTCGCTCTAGGTTAGAATGCAACTTGAGGCATGTATGTTTGTGTGTACATTTATTCTGTATTTGTGTTGTCCTGTGTTTAGGTAGAGGCCTTGCAACGGGCTGATCACTCATCCAAGGAGTCGTACCGGCTGTGTAAAATGATTACAGAACTGAATAAGAGGCCAGGGCCCTGATTGGGCTGGAAGAGGCATTAAAAAAACAGTTTATTCTTTCAATGTATACACATCCTTCCAAATTTCATATGTGAATGTAAGTAGTATTATTTATGCCTTCAGTTACATTACACAACATTTAAACAAGTGGATGACCAAAGAACTACAGAATGTGTGTAATGTGACATTCAGGCGAACAGTTCTTTCAGATTGAGGCTTACTAAAGAGACAGATTTCATGGTATTGAATTGAGCTGAAATTTCCTTTCTACCCTGTGAGGTACAAGAGTTCACAACTCATCACATTAACTATCACTTCACTTACCTTCCCATGTAGAGTAATATATAAACATGAATATGCTGCATCACATAGGTATTATTTTTATTTTTTTTATTTTATTTCTAATGGGGTGGAAAGTCCCATGTACTGCAGCCACTTCTGGCCTGTTGTACCAGCCCCAGAAGATATGTGAGGGTGACTGTGGAGCAGTTGATGGAATGAAGATTGGCAATGGAAACTGAAGTACTCTGAGAAACCCTGCCACAGAGCCACTTTGTCCACCACAAATCCCACTTGACCAGACCCAGGATCGAACCCGGGCCGCTGCAATGGGAAACCAGCCACTAACCGCTTGAGCTATGGCATGGCCCTATCACATAGTTGTTAGTGAAGGAGTTTCTTTTAGTGTTTGATTATAGTCTTTGTCAATACAATTTTGAACAGAATATTTTCAGTGGATAGAGTTTCTGCAAAGTAAATGCAGCAAAATCCCCCATAGTTTAACAGAATTTCAGAATTGTCAAAAAAAAGAAGAAAGATGCATTGAAGGGATTACGTTGAAAGGTGACTGTGAAGTATTTCGCTGCACTCTTCCAGCATTTTAAGGGGATGCTGGAATAAAGCAGGAAGGAAAATCTGTTTGGATAGCTGGTTATTTAACTGATATACAAAGACAGCATTTTTAGTGCTGAGCCAAACCTCATCAATAAAATTTGGGCAGGCCATTTGTAAAAATATCTTAGTATGTTTCACCAATCCAATTTTGAGAAATACTGGCAGAGAACTATACCCTGATCTTCAGTCTGTTGACATGTGTCAATTCATTGATTTACTAAGAGGTACTCCATGTTATTTCTCTATCTTGTAATAACATGAAGGTTAGACTGCATGTAATTTGCTGATGGAGTAGTATCAGTAAGGTAAGGTAAGTATCTTTGAATAAATGCAAAATGTTTGGATTGACTGTATAATTAATTAATTGATTAATCAATTATAATACATATTTTAAATCATGCCGGTCATGGTAGCCAAGCGGTCTAAGGCAAGCACTGTCTTCACTCGCTCAGAAACCAGAATCGTGGGTTTGAATCCCATTCGGGGCATAGATGTTTGGTGTTTGTGTATAGGTATAGGCCTTCCAATAAGCTGATCACCCACCCAAAGAGTCATACCTGTTGTCTAAGATCTAGTAAACCGAAGTGAAATGGAGAGTTTCATGGAGGTAGGCCAAGGCCCAAATTGGGGCTGTAACACCAAAGAAAAAAAAATTAAATTGTAGTTGTATTATGCATTAATTTCTCTGTTATATGTTCTATTCACGGTAGATTTTCCTCTCATTTGACTAAATGACCTGATCAGTAATGTAGCACGTTTTAATAGCCATGTGATATTGCAAAAGCACAAAGGAAATTTGTAACCAAGAAGTAAATTACAACCAAATATTGGGAAGGAGTGGTCATAAACATTTCCGACATGCTGTTCAAAGAGCATAATCTGAAATGTGGCGCCGTGTAGTCCATTAGATATTAAGCGACGTTCCGAGTGCCTCCGAAACGTCAGTGAATTTCTACCGGACTGCACGGCTTCACATCCCAAAAACTAGTACAGGTTGGACCTCTCAAATATGGCACTCTTGGGATCAGATCATGTATTGTGACCAACGGGTGCTATGTAGTAAGGTTCCAAAACGGCTCAATAGGCCATCGTAAACATAATGCGTTAGTATTGTTACACCGTTTTAAGGTACTGGTACAACGTTTTCGCTTACAAGCATTACCCACACTACCGGCGCTTGCTAGTCTCTTTGAACTCTCTGAAGCCACATTTAAGGGCCATCCAATAGACTAAATTTGTGCCAGACCACGGATCGGATGTTGTATCATGGAATGTCAGATCTGAGAGGTTCGACCTTCACTGAGAATCTCAAATCCACTATGTTCTTCGTTCGCGAATCTGACGTAAATTCAAGTGGCACACCTGCCTGATATACGAGAGTGATGAAATATCGTAGCAGTGGGTGTGAAGGTGGAGGGTAGGGGTTGGTAGTTGTGCGTGTGCGAGGTTTATGGACGCGTGTGTATGTGGACAGTGAAATAACTTCGTTTCAGGTAGGAATGGGTCCATTAGCAGCGTATAAGGATTGAAGGTAAGAAAGATTGTTCTCAACTCACTTAATAGGACGTAATGATGCAAATGGAAATGCAGTTCATTCCATATACAAGAGAGACTTTTATGAAAGAATATCGTTTGCTTTCAAGACACG